GATAATGGCGGCGCAGAAGAAGTCCATGATGAAAGCATGGAGGGTGTGGTTTTGAGAGATGGAACGTAGGGCTTCGGCCACGATTGGTTTGTTGAGATGGAGGACTTCGAAGATTAGGTTTTCGATGTTGGCCGATCCTGTCGAAAGCTCGGGAGAGAGGGAGATGGGAGGGAGGTGGTGGAAGGTGATGGAAGGAGTGGTGGCAGAGATGCCGGCGATGTAGGCAGCGGTGTCGCCGGCGTTGTAAGGTGCTTCAGTCGTGAGGATGTGAATGGAGAGTGAAGGTTTGGAAGTGAGAATGAGCTTTCCTAACTCAACCATGGCGATAAGGTGGCCAATGGCTGGTGTTGGGGATAGAACTATTGACTCCATGTTTAATTAGTTTGTATGGTTGAGTTCATGTGTAAGTTTCGTTATGGCTTGCTCTATACATATATATAAAGAAATGAGGGAGGCCCTATAAAATTTGTATCCGTCGTTTCAACAGTTAAACGTTTATTATTCTAATATCTTGTTAATTAAATGATTAAGAAAGGCAAACCACTGTTTAAAAGGTGAGATTCTTTACAATTCTCAACTGCAATATTGTTAGAAAGATGCAACAATGTAATTCGCACCTAATCCAATTTGACAAGTAGTGCCGATGATATGTGATCATTTATTATTAATGATGCGTTGCTCATACTTGACCTTTCAGCAAAATCTATACACGGAAGTGGTAAAAATAAATAATTTTCTTCACCTGCCACGTGATTGATTAATATAATAAGTACAAGTGTTAAAGCTAGCGTACGTATATCAAGGATAGGCCAGCATATCCATGATTTTAGCATCGGTGGTTGTCATTTTAATTTGTGTGACTGAAATTCATTTATAAAAATTTGTGTTTATCTATTAAATATAAATATTTGATGATATTGGCGTTATATATATAGTACACCGACCTTTAACTTAATTTCTTATTAGTTTTTATTAAGTAATCTCTCTTGGCTATAGTTTTTTTTCTTCTTCTTAAATTCACTTTGGTTATAGAGGGTCAACATAAGTGAGAGAGAGATATAATCGATTTGGAAAAGCAAAGACAGATATCCTACTTTCATGAGTAGTTTTATTTTCTTTTATTGGCGAAGGAAACAAGAATATATGATGGGAAGAAACGAAGGAGAGGATTTCCTCTCCAATTATTTGTTAGGTAATAAGGGTTATGTTTGGAATTTATTCTGCTTTTATTTTTCATGTTTTTCAAGAAAAAAAATATTTTTAAAACGGCGTTTAGTGCAATAAAGATAAAAAACGGAAATGAAAACGATTTTTTAGTTTAATGTAAAATGATAGAGAAATGAAAAGTGACTTTTAATCGTTTTTCATTTTTTGTTTTCGTTTTCTCTTCTCTCGAGTAGAGAGAGAGAGAGAGAGAAATAGAGACATTAATGGGTTTTTTTACACTAAAAATAATCTCTTGATAAAATTACCAAACGCATTTTTAAAAATGATTTCTGTCTGAGATTGAAAACGTTTTCATTTCATTTTCATACAAAAAATAAAATTATTTTAAAACGAGTTTCAAACGCGTCTAAGATATCAAAGAAAAGAAGATATTGATCCGTGAAAAAGAATTTTCCTCCTTTTTTTTGTTACCTATCAAACACAATAAAACGAATATTTTTCCTCCATATATTTTTTTTGGGTACTTTTTTCCTTTCAACTCTCACTTTCCTACTAGGGGAAATTCTGATCAATATTAGTCCGACAAAAAGAATACAGATCAATAGATATGAATCCAAGTAGTTAGAGTGGACGCGAGGGAAGTTGTTGAAACCTGTGGCAGTTGCCTCCATGTTTGAGTTTTGTTTGGCGCAGTACATTTAAGTGTACTATTTCAGCATGGCTTTGCTCTACGTATAAAAATGAGACACACTACAGAAAATTTGTATAATCTATCATTCAACATGAGTTTATGGATTCTTATTTTGCGTAATTTATGCTCATCATGTGCAGTTGTCTTAGGCTCCCTAGGAGAGGAGATCAGTTAAAATAATGTTTTAGGTTCCCTAGGAGGATGGATATTCAAAGCAGAACAAGCTTGGGCACCTGCTTCGTGCTTAATATACAATGAATTAATTAATAGGACAAAAAATGAGTAAATTGCTCGGTTAGTTCCAAAAACTCCTTACTTGGGTGACCATTTGGTCCCGTACTTTATTTTAATTGTTATTATCATTAATATGAAACTCTTAAAAAGGTTGTAATCAGACTAAAATTATTACTTAAATAGTAGTTGGAACAGAAAATTTCAAGTTTAATCATTGTTTTTTTTTTTAAATTTATTATTTATGTTATTACATAAAATTTAATGTCACTATGAGAAATAACTTGCATAATATAAAGTGATAACATGTAGGTTACGAAAGATAATATGCAGATTACAAAAGATAATTAACAGATTATGTAAAGATAACACGCAGATTATTTGTGACATAAGATAAATTTAACAACAATGACAAAAATAAAATAGTATTGCTATATTGATGGCATTTTTGAAAATTTCCTAACAAATTACTCACCCTCCGTTTTTGACACAATTACTAAAATAACCTTTAAGATGTTTTTTTTTTTTTTTTTTTTTTTAAAGAAAAAAATATGCACACTCTACACACCCTAACAAGCAAAGCCTCTCTCAAAACTCCTAACTGTTCTTTATGTGGGGGTGGGTGGGGAGGGGGCTCTTAAAGACAGTGGCAGGGCATGGTTGCTTATGGACTTTTTTTAATGGTTTGATCTTTGAAGGGTTGTTCTTTTGGAGTATAACTTGAGTGTAATTTTTGAGTTGAATTTGAGTTATAACTTGAGTTGAAGTTAGAATTTGAATAAAGTTGAAACTTAAAAGAACGTGAACTTAAATAAAGTTGAAACTTAAGTTTTTTTTTTTTTTTTTAGTTTTTTAGACAAAAGAACATGCCCTGAGTTTTTCTTATTTTTAACTTCTGAGATTTTTCTTTTCTAATAATTTCTTGAGATATGTTTATATTGGTTTGTTTAGTACTGAATTGGGTTTGTTTATGTAGGTTTCGTTGATAGTGAATATTACCGATAATAATACATATTTTAAGAACATTAGGCCACTTTACAACTTAATTCGTTACTTACCCAATGATTAAAAAAAATTAATCCTATTGGTAGAGAGATATATATATATATATATATATGTATATATATATATAAGCCTATCGTCGAATTTTCCTTTTTTAAATTAACATCGTACCATGAATTCGCCTTTGTAACCAAACAAAACATTACACGAAGTCACCAATAATTGATTTATTTATTGATCTAGTTGCATAGAAGTCCTCACTTTAAGACAACAGAAAGTAACTTGTCAATTTATTAGCAAAGAAAAAGAATCTTTTCAACTTCATGAATGTGGACACGTCTAATGGGGAAAAGGACAAAATTAAACATTTTTTTAGCTCTAAAAAGGACAAAACACCTGCGATACGAGTTGATGCCTCTTCGTCGGTGCTTTTTTATTTATGCCTTTTTGTTTGTGCTTTTGAATGTGCAAAAAAAGGAGATGAAAAATAGTTAGGAACGTTTAATTCATAAATTAAAATTATAAAATTAAAATTATTTTTAATTTATGTATATATTTTATAAAAAAAATATTATAATAAATTTTAAAATATGATTCAAATTATATTATAAATTTTCTTACTAAACGTATCCGTAATTTGAGCTTGTTGATGAGTTCAAGTGGCGCGGTTCTAAGTGTAACTTCAGCAGGGCTCGTTTAGGGGCCAAAAAAAAAAAAAAACGATAAAATAACTTGACGAAAGTATTGAACATGAATTGTGAGATATGCTACAGTAAACCAACTCAAATTTCTATTTAGTTATAGAAAAATGAGCGACGCTATTTGTTGAAAATTTGAATGATCTTTCGTTCATCAGTTTATCGAATATTCTTTACAATGCTGAACGGCGTTATTACAAAAGTCAAATGTGTAATATACACCAAATCCTGTCTGATTATTAATGGTGATCATGTGCCGATGCATTGTTATTTACTATATTTATACAAGAGATTATCGTGATATGTACTTTTTAAAGGATATTAGGCATAACTCAACCTAATAAAATTAGTTTATTAGGAGAGGATTGTCCTCACCTTATTAAGTGGATCATACCAATATCTCTAATCAATGTTAGATTCTAATTCTTCCCCTCACACACAGCGTGGACCATGATCACCATTAATAATCACTGTGAATAAGTCGATATTCACAGTGATTATTGGGGGACCCAACGTTACAAAACTGGGCCTGCTCTGATACCATTTTACAAAAATCAGAGAATATTAGACCTAACTCAACCTAACAAAACTGGCTTGTTAGGAAAAGATAGAATTGTCCTCACTTTATTAAATGGATCATGTTAATATCTCCCATCAATTTGTAGGATTTTAATAGTACTAAAAGATTTTTAACATCTGCTCTTTAACAAAATGTATACACATTTATATTTGTTTATAAGTTTTATTTATTCGGCCAAAGCATGCATGATTGATTATAATATGAGTGTGGAAACGTGTACGTATATAATCTCGTGGTCCAACTATATTGGCATTGAGATGAGAGTTGTTGGGTGTGTGTGTATATCTGTGGTTAATAATTTTGCAAGTTTATTTCGGGTTCCTAGGGGATAAGAATTAAAAAACTCTGCACGTTTTGTGTCCATTTATTTAAGCGAAGAAAAGCTTCGATAAGTGGTTCCTCAACGTGCACTCTTGTATATCTTCAGGGATGAATCTCGTTTTCGTTTCTCAATAATTATGATGAATTAATTAATAGAATCCAAAAAAAAAAAAAAAATCCCTTTTATCTTTTCCCCCTTTCAAGTTAATAATGTTTGATCGTAGAACTAGTAAGTTAAATCCTGTTTCGGTTTGTGATTTCATAGGATCAGATGAATAACGAAAGATAACGTGTTTGGCTAACTTCTACACCACAATTAACACTAACTACAAACCACCACGCCTAGGTACAACTATCCTCTAATATTTTAAAATCTTTTCAAGACTATTGTAATCGTTTGTGGAGATTTCTATAATAGAGATATTTATCAGTATTGTACATTTCTGAATATTAAATCTGATTAAATCAAATCAAAATAATAACAAAAAAGATATATACAAAACTTATGATTTTTAAAGATTAGATTGGTGTGATCTAGCAGAGATGTCCTCGGTTCAATACAACAGAAAATAAAAGGTCAATGTTTCAACAAGAGAAATGTCACTAGCATCACTCTATATGTCACTTTCTGCATTTATTGTTTGACACGTGGACTCTACTAAATATATTATTATTTAAACAGAAAATGAGATAGTAGAATATACATTTAAACAATGAACTATAAGAACGAACAAAACTGATATAGCGAAAGCTAAATTAAAAAAATTAAAAAATAAGAAAAAAAAATAAATCAATTAACTTGTTGATTCAAACAGAATATCAGGAAAACCGTCAATAAATTAAACTCAAATGTCTATTTCTATTATGGCCTTATATAATAATAGCAAATAACCGTTAATTAGTGGAGAAAATGACTAATCTTTTACACAAAATGCCGCATGAATTTTTTGTTTGTTAGCTAGGAAGTTGGACCATGAATTTTTGAATTTTAAAATGTAGGGCCCTAATTAATTCGTGTTTATATTGATGTTTGCTATCGATTGAATTGTATTGTCAATATTATCAAATTTAGAGTAATAAATGCTAAAATTCAAAGATTAGGATCCCACTTGCATATGACAAAAAAACTTCTACATTCTGTTCCTTGTTTAGATATCCATGTAACTTTAAAGCAAACTCTGGATGTGATGGGGTTTTTTTCTCTTTGATTTTTTCGTTTCAAACTTAATATTTGAACAAAATATTAATAATGAGTTGAAGTATGTCATCCTATTTTCTGGGATCTAATAATGATCATCCTGCACAAATTTTTTTCCAATAACCTTCTTACTATTTCTAGAAGATAAAAAATGGAAAAAAAAAATAGAGTAAGAGAGAGAGGCGCATGTATTAAATCTGAATTATTAAAAAATGGATTAATAAACAACAATTCTTTAGGCATGCATGGAACAATGATACATCTTATCATATCATTTAGATCCCTTGCCAAAGAATCCAATTATTATCCATGCTGGATAAACACGCCCGCAGAATTCGTACTGCAAATAGCAACCAATTACTACATATATATAAAAGAAGCCTCAAATACATAAGCAGTAGTTCTAGATCATAATCTATTCTTGAAGAGATTATTGCGATGGAATATTCTTGAGTTCTGTTGGCAGAAGTTTTCTTAATGTTGATCAAAACACTGGAATAATAAAACTACTTTTATTAAATTAAAATTATTTATAGATAAGACCCTAAATTACACACTAGAAAACACTCAAAAGATTACACTAAAAAAATTAATATTTTTTTTTTATTGCCGACACTTTCTCTCACACTAGACACACACTTTTATTAACTATTGCCTCACTTAAGCTTCGCTCATCTTCCATAGTTTTTGTTCAACATTACACTAGCTTGGTATAGGCCTAAGACTTTTAAGCATATTTTCCATACGTGAGACAAGGGAATATGCCTTTGGACTCATTTTGTTATAACACTCTTAACTCACCCACGCTTCCACAATTCAGTGAGTTTCGTTAGTGCAACCCGAGACGACCCACCATCGGTAATAGCAGCTCTGGCTTCATCCTTCAATGCCAACGCACGCTTCCGTATCGAGTTACCGCTTTCGGAACCCGCCATCAACTCAGTGACTCGCCGCTCGACTTCACCAGCGCTCACAAATCCGTCCCGATTAGTCTCCATCATAGGCAAAGCAATCTTCATTTCCTCGACAAGCACGACCTTGTTGAACTTCTGCTCCGCGTAGAGCGGCCACGCCACCATCGGCACGCCGGCATAGACCGATTCCAGCACCGAGTTCCAACCACAGTGAGTCACGAAACCGCCCACCGACTCGTGACTCAGAACCTCCACCTGTGGGGCCCAGTTCTTCAACACCAGTCCCCTATCTTTCGTCCGGTCCAAGAACCCTTCCGGAAGTAACGAATCCAAGTCCGGTTCCGGCAAGGCTGATAAAGCCACGTTTCCTTTCTTCTGCGACGGTGGATTACGCACCACCCACAAGAACCTCTGGCCACTCCTCTCCAACCCCACCGCTATTTCCTTCAGTTGCTCCTTCGAGAACAAGCCTAAGCTTCCGAAACTAAGAAAAACCACGGTCTCTCTTGGTTGCGAGTCCAACCATTTTAAGCACTCAATTTGTGAATGATTGTCCTTCTCGGCAGTAATCAATGGTCCAATGCAGTATACCGGAGGCGTGGGAGCATCGGGCACGCATAGTCCATCGGATATGGCTTTGAGAGCTCGAGACTCTAAAGACTCAAAAGTGTTTACAATGATTCCATCTGCTTTCGGATAGTAGGTCGAAGACTCAACAAAGTATTGGTAACTATTATCACGGCGGTCTTGAAATGATTTTGGCATATCCGACAAAGGAATTGGCGGACATCCAGGGATGTCGAGAAGAGTGTTGCCGATATCAAGATTTAAGATATTTGGGATGGTTTTTTCAAGAGTTGGCAAGTAAAGTACGTTAGCTAAGTTAGTCGCGGGAGAAGTGAAGAAGATGTGACTGGGGATTTTTTTGAGCTGATTATCGGAGGAGATCACGGAGAGAGTGCTAGCGCAGAAGAAGTCCATGATGAAGGCATGAACGGTGTGGTTTTGAGAGATGGAACGTAGGGCCTCAGCAACAATTGGTTTGTTGAGACGGAGGACTTCGAACATTAAGTTTTCGTGGTGCACCGAGGCGGTCAAAAGCTCGGGAGGGAGGGAGATGGGCGGGAGGTGGTGGAAGGTGATGGAAGGAATTGCGGCGGAGACGCCGGCGATGTAGGAAGCTGTGTCGCCGGCTTTGTAAGGAGGGGTGGTGACTAGAATGTGGACGGAGAGTGAAGGTTTTGAAGTGACAATAAGCTTCCCTAGCTCAACCATAGCGATAACGTGGCCGATGGCTGGTGATGGGTAGAGAACTATTGACTCCATCTTTGAGTATAGTTGATTTGCTTGTCGCAGTTATTAAGGTGTAAAGATTCCACAGTGTCTATGATCTGTCGTTCAACGGATAACCGATTCATTACAACATTGGACCACGTTTTTACCTAACATGCTGTTTATCTATAACTTTCTACTTACATATTAGATATATGTTATATATATATATATATACATATACTCTTAATAAGATGCTACAGTCTTTTCACACATGTGTATATATATGTGTGTTAATAAGTTTGCAAGTTTATTTTGATCTTTTTTTTTCACAATTCAAATTATTTGCTAAGAGGAGAGTTAATAAAATAAAAATAATAAATAATAATAATAAAAAAGTCTTTGTTCCACACGTTCTGGGCCTGACTTAATTTAAAAACTGAAAAAGCTTGGATAGGTTGAATTTGTTAATAACATCAAAATAAAAAATATCCCACTATCATCTTTTTACCATTTCTACTTAATTTTTTTGAGCTAGAACTAGTTGTTTTTTTTTAGGTTGAATTTATTAATAACATCACAATAAAAAATATCCCACTATGATCTTTTTACCATTTCTACTTAATATTTTTGAGCTAGAACTAGTTTTTTTTTTTTTTTTTTTTTTTTTTTTTTTTTTTTTTTTTTTTATGCAAGCTAGCAAGAACTAGTAATTTAAATAATGTGTATTGTCTCTGATTTCATATCAAATGAATAGTAATAATAAAAAAATAACGTTTGTTAAGTTTTGCTTCTAGTACGCCACTAGCGACATCGACACATGTCCACGTCTCTATCTCTCGCCACACCCACTACAAACCGCCGCTATAAGATTCAACGGTACTCTAAGGGTTCGTTTGGTACGATAATTCAAATCAGAGTGATTCTAACTAAGATTTTGAAATTAGAACCATGATTCATGATTTTGGGTTCAAATTATGATTTTGAAACCATGATTCGAAATTAGGGGTTTGAATCACCTTGAATCAAGAGGGGTGATTTTAGAATCATGAGTGATTCTGGTTTAAAACATCACATCAGATTCAGAATCATGATTCAAAATCATCCAAACCAAACACTGATTCAGAATCACTGTAAACAAACACGAATTCTGAATCAATATTCAGAATCATAATTCTAGATCTATCTACCAAACGTCCCCTAATATTTTAAAATCTTTTGAAGCTTTTTGTAAAGAATGCCTATCTACCCATGGTTTACGTTAATTATTAACATTACAGTTGATTAAAGTCGGATCAAATTATATAATTAAAAAACACACGTACGCGAAAGTGACGGTTTCTTACATTATAATCTGGTGATCATCTAGTTGCAGATTGAAATCCTTAATTCAAGAATACGGAAAATAAATCTATGGTCAATGTTCCAACAAAGAACACGATACCCAATTATTTAACTGGGAAAGGATAAAACTAAATTTGTTTACCACTGAAAATGACAAAACAGAGTTACAAGGGTTGATGCCTCTTTGAATTTGTTAAAGCTTTTGAATGTGCACGTGTAAGATTCCAAATTGTTAGGAGCCATGCTGGGGTTCCCCATGGTTGGTGATGGATATAGAATTATTGACTCCGTGTTCTGACTTTATATGGTTGATTTCAAGTGTAAGTTTTACTAAAGCAGCTCTATATATATGCAAAAGTGAAAATAGAGTCGCAATATAAAATTTGTATGTGACACCCAATATTTTGTTTTTGTTGATGTTTTGTAACATAGATCCCGAACTTTAGATGAAATTCATTGTAATTATGGTTTAATAGCAAACAAAAGGACAGTTTTTCCATGAAATGCAACATAAAGTTTTTGTTTCTGGGAAGTTGGACCTAAACTCCTTTAATTTTAGGATTTAGGACCGTAATTTCCGTTTATATTATATTGATGTTTGATATCAGTCCAATATTACCAAGTAGTATCAAATTTAGAGTGATAAGCGCTGAATTAAAAGCCTGGGGTCAACTCCACTTGCAGACGAAAAAACTTTCCACATATTCTATTCCTTGCTTCATATGTCCATGTAACGGTGAAGAAACCTTTGCAGTTTATGAGGTTTTTTCTCTTTCCTTTTTTGCCTTTTCGAACCTAATCTTTTATGTGCTTTAAATGGTCCAGTCTCAGTATTACTTCCAGTACTCACTTTGATCTGGTAAGTGATGTGTGCGTATATATACACTAGATGAGTGACGAAGATTTTCATTATGTACTGCTTATATATACACACACTAGATGAGTGACCAAGATTTTCATCAGTCTTTCTTTCTTTCTTTCTTTCTTTCTTTCAGTCATGATCTCTACTGGGCCCAATATTGTCACAAAAAAACTAGAAGATTAAATCAATCTTTCCCTGGCGTATATTGAAATCAGGCAAGTTTTTTTAGGCTGATGTTTTATGATACCTCAGTTTCTTTTTGTTTGTGTGTGTGTGTGTGGTTGTGTGTGTGGGTGTTTTTTTTTTTTTTTTTGAAGAAAAACATTATTCCCATGTTTCATCTGATCAAATCCAATAGGGCATGGAGAAGATGAGTTCGTTTGAGAAAAATAACGGGAAATTTGAGAGGGCAATCTGGGGATCAAAGATGAGACCAGTACATATTCCTAAATCAAAGATGAGACCAGTACACTTATGTAAACTGTTATAAAATAATAGTAGAAACTACAATTGTATGAAACTAAAAGAACAAGAGAGAGCATAAGAGAAATATGAGAAATAAAGAAGCTTTGTGTTCTTTCTAATATAAGGAGTCATCATACAAGCAAATATCTCCTATATTTATAGCCTAAGAATCATAACTAGAGGTCATAAGAGAAGACATAAGTTATATAGGTTACATGCAAAATTAAAAGATGAGTTATAACAATAATACACAATATTAAGAGAGGAAATAATGGGGTCTAAATGAGTGATTTAATATCCATGTAGCTTATGGAATACCAAGACGTGGCATCTAATGCAATTGATTTACAACACTCCCTGCCACCTACTAAGAATATGCCTCGTTAAAAACATTACTAAGAAAAAATCCTGTGGGAAAAAAAAATCTTAATGAAGGGAAAAAGAGTACATTATTCTTGTAGGATTTGCGCTTTATAATTGCCTCATTAAAAATCTTGTCAGGAAAACCTAATGAGATAAAACCTAGGCTAAGGGAAAAGGGTACAGTATGCAAAGGTCTCTCCCCCATGTTGACATGTCTTCTTCAAAGATCTCTGAGTTGACCCATGCCAATCTTACGCACTAATTTCTCAAATGTTGTCGTAGGAAGTGCCTGATTACGCCCAAACATGTACAAAAACAAGCGGTCAATTTTAGTACAATTAGGACGGTTGATCCCATGAGGAGGTGACAAATTAAACAAGAAACGATTAGCAAATAAAAAGCGTTATGAGATAAATAATAAAATAAAAATAAAAGAGAATGAAATTTTTGTTGAGAAGTTTAAGCGTAAGAAAAATGTATGAGAAAATTATATAATTAAAATAGGTAAGGCGTCGAGATTCTCCTATATGCTTTGTTCACATATTTGGATTTCGATTCATAAATTCACTAAATTGAAAGTTTCACATCCCAAACAATCAATCGGAAAATAAATATTTGAAGAACATATGAATTAAAAATGTATTTGAATAAATAAAATTCTAACGTTTAGAACTAGGAAAAATTATCTTATAAGAAATCTAAAAGCGACAATATACCGTTGGCAATATTACAGTAAAAGACTACTCATAAAACAATACCTACCAATATATAATATCGTGCAACAATCACATAAAAAGAGCTTGACTAGATTTATATAAAAGTTGACAATAAAATATATTGATAAGAGGAAGAAATATGATAAAAGAAAATTATTTACTCAAATGTATAAAACTTACAAATCATTGGAGAATCAAAATCCAAACAAGCTTACTACACATATATGATCATCTCTAGCCTCACCCAAAAACTCTAGCCTAACTTGCACATAATTCTCACAAAATTCTAAAAACAAAATATGAGAATAAGAGCAAGAAAATAAGAGAAAAAGTGTCTAAACTTAAGCTAAGAATCAACAACCTAATACACTTCACAAAGCCCTTATTTATAGAGTTTTTAGGGCATGTGAAAAAGCACTCAGCAAATAAAAGAATAAAGGGGCGTTTTATCCAAATAAATTGGATTTACAAGGCTTAATTCTGAGAGTGAATGCTGAAATCATCCCAACGAAACAAAATGGAACGCTGGCTGAAGAATCCCAAACGGGTGGGACACGTGTCGTGCGAAGAGAGGCTGAGAGGAGAAAACTGCCGACAGAAGCATCAAATCTGACATGTGGCGCGTGCTAATTCACGGAGAAGAAGAATGGCCGACAGCTGCTTCGTTGGGGGCACGTGGCGGACGTAGATTGGGAAGAAGCTTCAACGCGGGACCCACGCGGAGAAGAAAGGAAAACCGAGTGACGCGTGTGTGGAGGAAACTCGCGCAGGGGGAAGGGCAGTACGCGCCAAGCTCGCATGCATAGGGGGACAGCTGGGTCCCACGCGTCTGGGCGCAGCAGAAGATGACACGTGGACGGCTGGCTCGGCTCCAATCAGCTCGGCTCGGTGGACGGCTGGCTGAAGGGCTTATGGGCTTCAGATGGGCTTCTCTTTCTCTTTATAGTTTTGGCCCAAATGTCTTATTTTCCTACAAAACAAAATAAATTAAATTAAAATAAAATACTTTCACAAAAAATTAATTCCACGAAAATATTTAATTAAAACCCAATTTATTTAACAATTATGAACAATTTAAGTGCATTTTCATACACTTATCACAACCCCCAACTAGCTTATTGCTAGTCTTTAGCAATTCAAGCGAAAGAAAAATTATGTCAAGCCAAAAATTCAAATCAAAACTAACAAAATCACCTAAGCAATCAAACAAAACATTAGTAAGTGATCAGAAAATGCTATAAAAACTACTTCAGTCATAACTCCAGAGTCGTGTATGTGTGCACCAAACCGTATCCCTCTTACCA